TTTGATGGATATCGGTGGTAGAAACGTCCCCTGGGGTCTCATGTATTCTGGGTAGGCTCGATACCCTGGTTTGCCTTGCTACACTGAGCATTGACGTGGAAGGTAAAGAAGGTGATTACCAACGGGGGTTCCATCTAACAGAAACCAATTTAGTACAATGGTTGTACTTCCATTAGAGTTTCCTTCATTATAGTAAAACACAAGCAAATAAATATTATTCACCAGCTCTTTCTATAACCCCATTTTGGAAGAAAATTAAACATGGCCACATACATAACTTGACTTGTTATCTTTGTCACATTTGGCATTTCTCATAGGTATGTATGTAAATATGCATATTTTATAAGCTTCTGCACAGCATATATAACTGTATATATATGTGTGTGTGTGTGTGTGTGTGTATGTATCTATACATATTTAGTGTAAAGTGACTGTGTAAAAAGATCTGGCAATATTCTGCTCCGCAAACTAAGTGGAGAATGTCAGAAAAATCAGCCTGTTGCTTAGTATTTCTAACCTCCCCACCAGTGTTCCTGCATCTAAGGAGAAAGGTGAGAAGGGAGAAAGGGAGTCCAGATGGCAGGCGACTAAACCCCTGCTGAGCTGAGACGGGGCAGAAGGCCGAGGAGCATCCCGGGTCCTGCCGTTGGCCAACTTCATGCATCTAGACTGCCACTATGGACTCTGAGCCCAAGTAGGATTCGGCAGACACTGTAGAAGGGACGTGCACATGTTCTCCTATCTACTGCACATACCAGCCTCATGAGGTAAGTGTTACACCCCATGTTATGGGCTGTTCAAGAGTCCCATTACCTGACTCCAGGGCCCTTGCTTTAACAGTCTTGCTGGGCTGCCTCGCCACAGGCCTCTGGTGAACATGTAGCAGCAGCAGGCCGAGGCTTCCGCTTCTGGGAGCTTTTGCTTTCATCTTCCTACACTTTTACTCAGGATTCTGATTTTTTTAAACATTATATATATATACACACACACACACACACACACACACACACACACACACACACATGTATTTTTTAATTGGTCATATTGATTTTATTGAAAATTTAATGGGAAAATGGAGTAGGGATGTACTCTAACAAAAGCAGTACAAAATTCGAATTTCTCAGGGTGACCCACTGTCCTCCAAGAGAGATATCATTTCTCTGCCTTCTCTCTTCCCTCAGATCTCATTCTTTCACCTCTTATTCACAGGGGCTCACACTCCTAGAATGGCAGCACATAGTAGTTGCTCTGTATATACATTAGCTGAGTTTTTCTACATTTGCAAGTGCCAGCTAAGCACGCCTTTGACATCCTAAAGACGGCCAAGGAGACTGAACAAGGTCGAAGCAAATGCATGGTTTTCTAAATGTATCTAGTGACCTCTGCTGGGCACTGACCACAGAAACCAAACATGGGTCTTCCTGTTTCCTAATTGATTCTCCCCTCTTTTCATTCAATGATAAAATGTTAGTGTGAGTGTGAAATTTAGAACCAGGAGCTTTTGAGAGTCCTTCTATCTTGGAGAGACCCCCTCCCCTCCACCCCTTTCTGTCCCCCTTCTCCCAGTTTTTGTTTTGAGCACAAATCTTGTTGGAGAATAATCAGGGATTTAGGGAGCAAAGAACCCTCTTCTCTGATTCCTTCCCACATTTTCTTGCCTAAATGACTGCCTATCTTTGCACACACAGCTGAAAGAAGGAGATTGGCCCCAGATGGCGTGGCTAGATGAAGTTACACGCCAAGGACATAGTTCACATGGCACCATTTATTTCACCATGTTTCACTTATCCCAGCAAGCAGTTTTCAAGATGACATTTGCTACTACAAAGCAAAAGATTGGTAGAAGGTGTCCTCATATTGAGAATTACAGGATCAAAAGAGTCACCTGTCTACTTTGATGGGCCATTGGAGATGGTGTATTTTGAGAGTCGTGGGACTTGAAGGAAACAAACTCGAGTGAGAAGCAAGGACCAGGCTTTTCAAAAATTCAAAGTAATGAGAATGGGAATGGGCGAAACAACCAGGAGGTGATCCAATTAAAGTTTCACCTATCTTCGTATATGTGTATGAATTTGTTGCAGAAAATTTGTATAACACAAATAAACAAGAAAGATCACAGAAATACTAATTATAATATCTCTATCTGAGGAGAACCATTGCAAAAAAATTTGTTATTATCTATTCCAGTTCTCTATTTATTATATATCATGAGTAGAAGTGGATATGTATACTTTTTTTTTACAAAATTTATTTATTTATTCATTCATTCATTCATTCATTTATTTATTTATTTAGCTTACTACTTGTTTTTATTTAATATGTCCTGGAATGTTTCCATTGATTTAAGGTCATTTACCCCTAAAATGTTTTATGCAATTAATTATTTAAGCAGATAATATATGCACATTGCACAATATTCAGAAAATTGAAGAAAAGTAAGTCTCCCTTTTACTCCTTTCCTCTCCAGTAGTAACCACTGCTACTAGGGGAAGCTTTTAATAAACCACTATACATCTTATAAATAAGGCTAATAGTTACTAAATTAGTTGGTATAGTGCCAAGCACTATATTAAGTCCCTTATATAAATGATCTCATCTCCATTTTAGGAAGAAAATCAAAATTTCTTTCACAAATTAATTTGAGGTTACATAGTTGGTAAGTGGCAGATTGGACTTGGACCCATGAGTGATTGACTTACAACCAAGGATATGGTACCTGGCTCATACTGTAAATGAATAAATAAGCCTTACAGTGTAATTTGGATAATGTGAATTGGCTATCCTGGGGCTTGTTAACCCCGGAAGAAGCAATCTCAGGATGGCTGAGACTAAACACTGCAGACTGAAGCTCCATCATCACCCTGTCAACCCATTCTCACTTCTTGACAAGATGTCCTTCTGTTGTTTTTTTTTTTAATTGAAGTAGAGTTGGTATACAATATTACATTGGTTTCAGGTGTACAACATAGTGATTTGACAATTATATACATTACAAAATGTTCATCACAGTAAGTGTAGTTACTGTCACCATACAGTTATTGTCTTATTGGCTATATTCTCCAAGCTGTACTTTTCATCCCCATGACTTATTTTATAATTGAAACTTTGTGTGTACTCTATATACCCTTCACCTATTTTGCCCATCCCCCTACCCCACATCTACCCTATGGCAACTTCCAGTTTGTTCTCTGTATTTGAATCTATCTCTGTTTTGTTTGTTTTAATTTTTTTGATTCCACACATAAGTGCAATCACGTGGTATTTTTTTCCTCTGTCTGATTTATTTCACTTTGCATAATACCCTCAGGTTATCTCAAGTGGCAAGATTTCATTATTTTTTATGGCTGAGTAATATCCTATGGTACATATGTACTTCGGGTTTTATTGGAATTTGTATTTTTAGGACTCACAGAAGTTATGTCAATACAAGCAAATCATTTTGTGAAGGAGAAAGTTATTTTGATAATTTGGGCTCTGATCTACTATTTTAGGGCTTAACTTTTTGATTAGTCATATAATTTTGTCCTTACCACTCAAATGAATGGAAAATAGACTATATCTTTAAATTTATTATTACAAAGATAAAAATATAATATGTTATTGAATCATAGAAGACATTTAATCTACTTGATTCCCATTGATTCATTAATATCAGATAATGAAATACAGTTTTTATCTATCCTGAGTCATTAAAGTACACTTAGGTCAATAAAGCCAACTATATAGAAAATGGCTAAAGACCTCATAAAAGGTTATAGTACTAACAAATAATAAATAGTAGTAATAAATAGTAAAAATTAAAATAGGAATAGTACTATTTAACAAATTGTTTATAAAAGTAACAAATTATTCTCTTCCTGTAATTCTAATGTGAAAGATGTTTTGTGTGAATTTCAATTCTGCTACATGGTATAATAATGTAAAAATATCAATTGTAGGCTGAGTCTTATAAAGTAAGATGTTTCAAAATCAAGCATGCTAGTGAATGTCTTTCCTCCATTTAGGAGCGATGTAGAGTATTTCTGTGGGTATGTAAATGAATTAGCACATACAGACTTACATGCACACAAACACATGGAAAGGAAAAATATGCATTCATTGGCAGAGTGGCCCTGATAATATTTCAGAACCTAATTTCTTTTGCAATTTTCTTACCACATTTGAATATTTTTACATCTGGCAAATTATTTTTTTATCAGTTTGATAATATTTGAAGTAAAAGCACAAATATGAAAACTAATTTTTACTACCTATTAAAATGATGATCTGATAATCATTAATCAAAATTGTATTCTTTGTATATGTTATATCCAAAGACACACAGATATTTATTCTTTCTCATAGAAAAATTTTTGAGAAAAATAATTAAGGAAAGGGGAACCGAGGTCTATGCCTACCATTGAAATTTAGTTTGTAAATGTAGAATAAAATAACTAGGAATATTTTTTTAATGTTCTAGAATGAGGAATCAAAAGAAAGAAAATTTAGGGAATCTAAAGGGATTTAAAGCATAGAAACACATGCTAGTCAATTCTACATGTAATCTAAATCTGCAAACTTTATCAGGCGAAGTGCTAATGTTGGATAACTCTGAAAGTGATGAAATAATCAGTGATGGCTGTGTGAACCTGGGAGTTTGGTCAAAAGGACAAGGGCTCAAGGTCTGAACTTGTATCATGCTCAGCTTATGAGGATTCCATTATCCAAAGGGGTGCTACCCTAAACCTGAGGATTTTACACATCGTTGAGTTGTTTTTAGGTAGATATTGACTGGGGATACTGTCTTCACTGAAGCTTCCCAGAAAGACTGTAAAAAGGAGCTGAGCTTTCCTGCTTCGACCGGGAGTTCTCTCCGAGGCACATGAGATTGCATTCAGCTGGTTTATTCCTGTGAGAAACTACCAAAGCCTAAGGTCATCCAGCCCTGAACCTCCACAGCTCTAAGCGCACGGCTTCCGAGATCACAGTTAATTGAAAGAGGGATTCAGAACATTTCAGAGGACTGGAAGAAGAATGCTCCGAGGCCGATCCCTTTCTGTGACATCGCTGGGCGGGCTTCCTCAGTGGGAGGTTGAAGAACTTCCCGTGGAGGATTTACTGCTCTTCGAAGTAGCTTGGGAAGTAACCAATAAAGGTTTGTACTGCTCCCCAAGGAGGTGGCTATTTGCCAGGTTGCTGAAGAATGTAAACTAGGCTTCCACAGTTCACTCCAGGGAGACGAACTGCCAGCGGGTGAGGAGACTACCCAAACTGAATATAAACTTAGGTTATGTTTAACCTTGTGTATTTCAACAAGCCATGATAATTTAAACTTAACTGTGTTGAAACGGGAGAAAGTTAAAAATATTAGTCATTGCCAGGGAATGGGCATTTAAATTAAAATTTGAAGTACATGGTATGACAGAGCAAATAAAAAGTTAACATTTACTTTTTTGGTTCTATGATTTTTCTCAGCAAAAAAAAAAAGCATAAGTAAGTACTTCATTTTAGGAAGAACTATATAGGCTCAGGATCAACTAGAAACTAATGTTGAACATGTTAGCAATTATATATAAGATATTTAATTATATTTCTCATTCTTCAAGACTAGTTTGGAACTAAAGGTTTAATTCAGAAGCTACTCATAAGGAATCATATGGGGCTCCCATTATGAAGAAAAGAGTAATTTTTCTTCAATTATATATATGTATATATATATATATATATATATA